AAGTTGACTTCAGTTTTATAGTATAGAAGTTATATTTGGTTTGATTATCAAAGCAGTCAAACTTTATGTCCCTGAAGTATAATCCAGTATGATATTGATTAAAAACTGACAGACTCTGTGCCCTCCAAGATGTTCACCAGCTCTTACAGCTGGATTCATTATCATCCAGGGAGCAGCTCAGTGACCATGTTCAACAAGGCACACACTTCAATACATAAACTCTCAACACATGTAGGAAAAAATTCCCTAAGTACCTTTAATTTTCTCTCTTTTTAACAGATAAGCCAACCTTATAATACCTTTACCAATACCACTGCACTCAGCTCCATTACCCAAGACACAGTCATTCTGTTCTCTGGTTTTAGGTATTCTTTTCAGCTCTACACTTCATATGTAAGCTTGTCAAACCCAGGAGCTCCTCCACAGCAAGGCATTAGCTACATGTACAACACTCCATCAAGAATTACAAGTTCTCCAGGTACTTGCTTTGAGCACATACCCAAATACAGTATGCACACTCCCATAGAGATACACACAAACCCTCTGTGGAACTCCTGTGCACACCTATTTACCCCAGGGACAATCATGGGTTTGCTTTGAATAAGCTTATTTTCAAGTGCTATTTAAAGCTTCTATTGGTAGGGAGTTTGCACCATCTTCCAAATTCATAGCTCCAGCATTCCCCCCACCCTTGCCCAAATCATCTTTCACATCACCCATAGCTGAGACCAAGCACATTCCTACCTTGCTCTGCCCCGTTGACGCAAACTTTGAGGTTGACGTAGGCACAGGCTGGACCCACAGACTGACACAAACCCCCTCTCACAAGTGTAATTTCTAGCTCTGATCCCTTCAGCTGCAAAAAGGAGGAATATTAGGATTATTGTTTTATGGAACAGACAACAAATATTTTCCCTAAATAAACAACTTAAGATCTTGCCTTGTCACACTAAACACGACTTATAATAAAAATAGCACTTTCTGCCATCTCTTCCTTCAGAGACCAAGTGCTTCAGCTATCAATTTGCCTGTGCTAGATGTTAAAGATACAGCAGCATTTAACAGGGCAGAAAAACAGTGGAATAAACAGACTCATTTTCACAAGCCATGAGTAGTTATGACAGTCTCCCAAAATACCATCCCAAAGTGAATATCCTTGGGAGGAACACTCTTGCAGAGGCAGCTCAGAGGATCTGAAGACAGGCCCTGCTCTCAGGCCCTGTCTGGAGAAGCCTCCATCATCCTCAAGGGGCTACTGAGAACAACTGGGGTCACAGCTGCCTTGGTAACATCAGCCTTTGTGAGTGTCTACCCACTAGCTACCAGTGACTGTCACCCCTTGAGGCACTCCAAGAGATGCAACATGTGTCTTGCTGAGCAAATGAGAGATGGGATGAAGAGACCTGAGGATCTCCAGCAATACAACTTATTCTGTAGGGGCTTTAAACCACAGCTTTAAGTCCAAGTTTGTTCCTAGCACAGGTCTCTTCCTGACCTCAGTACAGGCTGGAACTGCCCACATCAATTTTCATGGGAATCATGTTTTAAAAGACCTCTTAATTATAATTATCAAATATCACCCAGAAATCACTTATATGAAAAAATGGTTCTAAGTGGCCATTTAAGCCAATCTTTTGGTAAATTTAGAGATGGTCTTTGGTAAAAAACACAATCCAAAGGGTGACAGACAAACTTGCAAGTGCCACTCTTTACTCATTTTTCAAGTACCTGCTTTTCTGCTCCAGTATTTTATGAGCAACTGTTCATCTTTTTAGAAAGGAGTTCAAAACTAAGGCCTTGTATCAAAAATTGATCCAGGATAACTTCACAGAAATAATGAACCTGAATGTAATGCCAATACTTCTAGGAAAGACAGACTACATTTCACATCAAGCAGACTTCTGGTACTTCTTGAATAACTTCCAGAACTCTGGTGCAATGATCCTCTTGCAGTTGACTTAACTGACAGACTCACATGTGGAAATACACTCTTAGTTTTTTACCTCCATCTGCTTTTATACCTGAAAGTGAGCAATGGGCACTGAAGCATTTTCATGTCAATGCTGCCTATCAGCCCCACCCGTGGCAGCTGCATAGAGCAATCTGAATCCCCATTTTCACAGTCTCTACCCCTGGAAATGTTGGTGCAGAACACGATGCAGTCGTGACTAAGTCAAGTAATCATGGCCACGGGTGATGCACTGAGCTACAACCTCACTGCACACAGCTGTAACTGTCCTCAGCTCTCCACAAAGGGCCAAACTTCCACACTGAGGATTTCTAAATGGCTTTTTCATTTCACTGTTCTTAATTTGACAAGCTAGTTGCAGCAGAACACAGAGTCAAACATCTGTCCTAAGCAATCCACCTCTGCAGGGCTAGGAAGAGACTTCCAAGGAAGACTTGACAGTTGTACTAAAATCTCAGTCATCTGTTTCTCTCTGCAACATCTATTTTCAGGTCTAAGTGTGTGACAAACAGTTCAGAGGCACATCCAGCCCATAAGCACAGCAACTAAATGTGCAGCAGGCAACCCATACAGCACAGACCACAGAGGACTCCATAGGGAGGTACTCTGGGGTGACCGAGACTCCTTAATGTAAAATAACAACCAACAACTGTATTTATTCATGTTTTTCTGTGCCTCTATTTGCTATACACAGACACATTACCCCACTACACAGGACTTGCAACAACTCACAGCATCCTAGCATGGGTTGGCTTGGAGGGTACTTTAATGGCAGTGCTTTTCCTTCTTACTTGGGTTGTTTCCTGGATGAGAACTTCCTTTGAGGTAGGCACAGGGTAAGGCTTCAGGTCAGCCTTGACTGTGGCAAAAATGAAATCTGCATGTTGTTTGATAACAGTGTCCAGGTAGTCACCTTCTGGCTGGGCCCTGTAGTACACGGTGATCTCATCTGTAGGAACCAGATTGCGCTGCAGGACACACACAGACACTGTCAGTGACAGCAAGGTGACTGTCACGTGTGCAAACTGAGAGAAGAATACTTGTCAAGTTAAAGGAGAAAAGATCTTAGAGATATTTACTAGGAATTTGTTTCCACTAGAGATTTTAGAATAAAACAATCCTTCTGTCAAAAAGGCAAGAGGCTTCAAACAGGAGAGTTTAGGCAAGATAAGGTATTTTAGTATTCATTTAAGTGAAAACAAATGATAGCCTTATGTCACTGCAGAACTACATTTAAATAATCCAGTAACCTATGAAAAAGCTTTCATGGCCACATTCCTGCCTGGGTTTATTTTATACAGAAATAAATCTACCTAAGTTTTATAGGTATGAAAATATGTTAATATATATACACATTTACATAGGTGTATATATATAAAGTATAAATAATATAAAAATAGCTATTTTGGTACAAACTTGTAATTCTTCAGTCTTACTCTGAGTAAAGGTCCCTTCCAACTCAGACTGTTCCATGCATCTATAATTTATATAACCTTAACTGCACAGGTATCTTTGCCAATTAACACAACTCAGGAAAATTTCCTCTACACATCTTTTGGAGCTCTTGCAAGATTTCTTCAGGCATAAATCTGAACAAAACAAATTCCAGCCCATTGCCACCAAGACAGAAAACCCTACGTTATTCCATGTTTGCAATGTGGATATGCATGAGAGGACAGGAGATTGTTTTGCTTTTGGTTGTTCCTGTTTTTAACTTGAAGGCTCTGAAACCTTTGGAATTCTTGGTACCAAGTTAAATATTACCTAGCATTCTCTCCTCCAGAATCAAGGTGTTTTAGACATGCCACCACCCCACAGTGACCAGGCTCTCTTGGCACAGAATGGAGACAGTGAGTGCAGCTCTTTCTGGATGAGCACTGCAGGGAAGAAGCAGTTCCATGGTACCAAGAGCTCTAGCCCCAAGGTCAGGCAGCATCATTTGTGTGTGTGAGAATTGTTTAGAGCAGACTCATTAACACAGGTACACAAATGGGGGCCAGAAATGTCTCCTGCCATTTGCTAGGACATAGGTTTGGTTTTTTGGGCAGTCCCAGGCTCAGCTGCCTCTGCTGTCTGCAGCCCAGCTGTGACACACCGCAACTGAGAGGGAACAGAACACAACTCTTGGCAGGAGAGAGGCCTCAGAGCTGCTTAAACTTAGGCCAAACCTCTTCTATAGGGCTAGAAATAGAAAACAAGAGGGGCTCAGTAAAATAAAGTAGTTCATTCCCTATGAGTGGAAAAGTTCATTGTTCAACTCAAGCTACTTAATAACATGGGAATTCAAAATGAAAACAGTGCTTTGAAATAATTTTTGTCTGATCAGAAAGCTACACATGAGAAGCAACTGATACAGAGCTTCATGTTTAAGTGAAAAGGTCAGTTTCTGCTGCATTTTGTCCGAAGATGGCAGAAAGGGGAAATACAGATGGCTTGTCCCCAACCATCACTTCCTAACCTTTTTGCGAAGCTTCTGGATGCGATTAATCACTTCCCGGGCAACTCCTTCATCCACCATGGACTGGTCTGGAGTAACATCCAGCAGAACCAAAACCTGAGGTAATGCACAGGAGACAGCTGAACAAGTGACAAACTTGAAACAAGCCACTAGTAAAGCACTCAGGAGCTCAGACGTGGTTTAAGAGCTCCTCCCTTCCAAAAAAACATCATGGTGGAGGGAGTATTGAACACCTCCAGAGTTCAGAATACCGACCCCGGCAATGAGTGGAAGTATCTGAACTAACAACCCCACCCCAGATCTGACCTCACCATTTTCATATTACATCTAGAGGAACTCTTCCATTAATAAAAGCAAGAAGAAATGACCAGCAAAATACCTGAGCATCAGAATGTGCCTCGAACTGGGCAGAGCCCTCCGCAATCTGGTACATGAGACGGAGATCTTCCGCATGGAGCTCGTGTCCTTCTACAACAATGGTGCCTGCAGAATGAGCAGATGCGAAGCATCTCTTACCATCAGAGCAAAACCCCATAACTTTTAATTTAAACAGCTTCAAACAAGTATCAGACTTCAAGCACGTGCAGTGCAGTCCCACAGCAGTTAAGCACTAGTTAGCAGCACTGCACTATCCCACATTCCCATTTTTCACACAGGCACTTCTCCAGGCAGCAGAGCTCACTCAAAACACAGGCACTTCAGCAACTGTTTGTGTGGAACCATCTGAATGGAATTCAACTTAAAAATAACCTCTATACTCCACCAAATCCAAATTTCCATTGAAGGAGTTAACTAAACAGATAGAGCTGCAAAATTCACACCCACTGGTAACTCTTGAATTGAAGCAATGCTTTTAGAATAAAAACTATTGCACATACAGTCAATTCTAATTTGACTCAGTCTCATAGAACAACTTATTCTCTGCTTCATCTTTGCTTACAGTAGCACTTAAAATCACAGAATACCCTGAGATGGAAAAGAACCAACAAGGATCATCAGTCCAACTCCTGTCCCTGCACAGGACACCCCAACAATACACCCTGTGCCTGAGAGCATTGGGCAAACACTGCTTGAGCTCTCCCTGGCTTGGGGCTGTGCCCACTGCCCTGGGGAGCTGTTCCAGTGTTCAAACACCCTCTGGGGGAAGAACCTTTTCCCGATATTCAACCTAAACCTCCAGTGACGGGAAGGAACAGTTTAACAGGAGCACAGTTTAAGAGCAGTTCACACAGCCATTTCTAATCCACTGTCAGCAAATAACAAAACCAAAATTTATCCCATTCTCCTAAGAAACCATGTAACAGGGATAATTAAGAGGAAAGTAGGTCCTAAACTCCCCTAAACCCACAGGATACACTGCCATCGTTTAGGGTTTGTACCACTACGTACCTGTCTCCTGGAATTTCTCCAGCTGCTCACTCTTCAGTTCTTTGATTGCAGCCATGACAGGCTTAAATGCCCCTTTCAGGCGCTTGCCCAGCACCATGTGGTCTGGCTCTGCTCTCAGCCTCACTCCATACTTCTCCTTGTCCGCAGACAGTGTCACTTGGCGAACATTCAGCTCCTGAGAAGTACACAGGAGAAAGAAAGGAAACCAAGCTAAGGAACAGCCATGGAAAGGGCACAGACCAGGGGCCACAGCACCAGGGAACGTATAAGCCTCATGCTGCAAATTTTGTATATGGTGTCTCTATGGACTAAGCCATTGGCCAACACTGGAAGAGCAAATGAACTCGGGCAACACGGAGCCCATCCTCCAGCAGCAGACCCTGTCCTCACTCTCAGCCTCTAAGTAACATCTCTCAGTTACTAACAGACACAGCCAGCTCTCACCTCAAATCAGGTCCCTATTCAGCAGCCCTTTTTATTTCTCCCTTACAACTGCCTGAAGAGCTAAAGACATTCCCTTTGTGTGTGGCTCTAGCAAATGTCCTGGCAGAACTCAGGAAGTACAATTCTGCTGAAACAGTCCTTTCAGTATGCATTGAGCCAGGAAACCACAACCAGCAATTTTATGGTTTAGGTTGTACAAAACTGCCTTATTATTGTGTTTCTTTGCTTACCTGTTCATTCTAGTTCCTCACTGCACAGAAAACCACCCTACTCAGAAAAGCTTCTGTCTGTGCCCTACAGAACATGACTGGTGTGCCAGAGCAGCCAAAAAGGCTTATAAAACTTGCATGGACTTCAGGAGGGGCTGCAGAGCATGGACGGCTTTTTGGCACTACAGAAACTTGTGTGTGCCCATTTTTATAAGTTACAGGTGCAAGTTGTGTCCCTTTATCTGAGGGAACATAGTGGTGCTGTGGGAAGTGTGACAGAACGACTGATGGAGAGGACAGTGTTGCTGCCATGTGATGAAAGACCAAGGCAAGAACCCTTTGGAGAGAAGAAAGCTGAAGGGGGATATGATTGAGGTTGTAAAATGTGAAATGTAAAGGTAAAACTGTTATTCAGCAAACAACTCCTCAAATAGGGGAACGTGCACAAAGGGTAGAAGACTGGTTAGCAGAGGCACACAAGTAGGTAAGCCTTGGAACCAATGCCACAAAAGGAGGGAAGCAGGAACATGCCACCAAGTTCAAAAAGGAATTAAGCACATAACAGTAGGCATGTGGAAAGGTGTCAAAGGAGACAGGTAGGCACGTTCCTTTGAGTGAACACAAGAGCAGCAGTGGTGACTCTGACAGGTGCTGACCACATGCTCATGTTGCCACTGCATGGCCTCCACCACTGTAGGAGACAGCACAGGTGCTCAGAGAGCCACAGCTCTGAACTACTAACTCATTTCTTATGTTCTTAATTACAACTGTTCTCCTCACCACGTAAGAACATTAAAACCCACCATTAAAATAATGCCCAAGCCTCATCACACCCCTGACAATCACACAATGCCAGATTTGAACACACACATCTAACATCTCTGCTGTACACTTCATTCTGTCCAGTGAACAAACACATTACACACATGATTACACACACCACCATGAAACAACATCTTGCTATACATCCTGTAAATAAGTGCTCAGTATCCCAGTACTATTTTGTGTCTCCAAGAGAATCTGCTTCTTCCCTGCTTTGCAAAGCCAACTAAGAAACATACACACAAGGCAGGACTTGGTACAGAAACTTCCAGTTTCACACAGGCTCACTCTGTTCTTGGTGCAACTTAACAGGGACAGATCTTGCAAAGTTTTAGTTGCCAACATGCACCTCTTATACAGGCACAAACCTGCACATCCCTGCAGCACATTTCACTTGTAATTCAGCAGGTTTTGTCTGTCAGGCTGTCCAATACTTGCAGCATTTAGTGTTTAATGTCCACTAGAAGGCTGTTAGAGCTCACATCCCCATGCTACAGAATCACCAGGTGCACTTGCAAGCAAGCTACTCCAAGGCATTTAGGAAGCACAAGTAAATGGTGGTGTCAGCATGACAGAGCTAGCACGTAGCCAAACATTTAGATTGAGAAATAATGCTTAAACATAGCATTTGAGCTACAGCCTAATTCCCTAGGAAGTCCTTCTGACAGGAGGAGCCAAGAATATAATTAAATCTAGTTTTATTTAATACATCTTTTAGGAAATCTAATGAAAATTCCATACTTCAAAAATCCAGCTTCAATGGGATGTGCTGGGAATGAGCCCATGAGTGGCACATGACCACCTTGATGGGGAAAAGAAATTATAATACAAAACTCAGCACAAACTGAAAGATGACTTTGGGCCTGATCAGACAAAGTACATACAAGTCAACTCCATCGGGATAAGCTTTCTATACTGATTAGGAAACCATTCTTCTGTACACATTGCCCACTAAAAAACCAGAACAACTCTTTGGAAAACAGGCAAGTCTGTATCTTAGGTCTGTCTGTGTCAGTCTTCAGTGCTTTGACTTCATATAGTTCTTAATTTTATCTTCCTAAATACTCAACATTAACTCCTTAACACATCTTTCAAGTCTCATGCAGACAAACTGAGGCAACCAGCCCTTCCCACTGCCAGTCACAAGTCCAGTGCCTGGAATGCCTGGAGATAGAAGGGTCTTAAGTTGGTGCCATGTGCCCAACACGATGGGATCAGGCAGTGCCCCAGCTACACCCAGTCCTCAGAGCAGAGGCAGGGAAGTGCTAGTGCTGTGCTCCAGCTGGGCTGGGCTCTCTAAGGGAACAGCCTAAAAAGGAAAATAAATATTGAATATGCCAGATTGCAAGACACGAAGCAGTGAAGGAGCCCCCACACTGCCACAGCTCCTGTGGGAGCTAACTCAGCTCCTTCACAGGCTCAATCACAGCACACCACCCACACCTATAACACTGGAACACCAACAGACCTTGGGTGTGATGGAAAAATACATCTTCTTCAGTTTATAATAGCCCTGCACAGTGGTGGAGGGAATACAAAGGCTGGATGCAAACAAGATTCTGATTGTACACAGAGTCAAATTTACCCAGAGAAAACCTTTCCCTGGAAGCAGTTGGGAAGAGAAACCCTGAACCAGGCTTGTAAAAGGCCTCAGACACTAATGAATAAAATGCAACTGTGTCCAGTGGCTAAAAGCCTTCTGGATGTATTTCGTTTTGTGAGCTTGGCTATGTTTGCATGACAACTCTATAATCCAGACAGTTCTAATATTAAAATCCATTTATTTAAATGACTTGCTATGTTCTGAAAATGAGAGCGCAGCACTGCAGATCAAAGGCTACAGTTACTTCTGCAAATGGTGAATGAAATTTTGGAAGAATTGACAAGGGTATTTTTCCAATTCTTTTGTCAGCAAGTGCATGAAATTAAATGGTGTAATTTTTCTTACAGATTACCTCTGGCATGTGCAGATTTACTAGAAACACTTCTGGCAATCACTAAAGGTCCTAAAGCTCTGAATACATAGGAGGTTGATGAACAGAGCTGCACACACAGCCCAAATAAAGCTATCTGCCTGTAATCACTGACCTCTAACTCTGAGACATCCCAGTAAACAACTGGATTGATTGCCACGCAGTACAGTGAAACACACATTAAGCTTCAGCAACAGCTTGTTGAATTTTCAGACATGTAATAAACCCAGGACAATAGACAGTACTTTGTGCTTCTGTAAAGCACTGGAGTTTGTTGTAACTCTCCCCAGACATATAGCAAAGGAATATAAATCAAAACATACTTATGTACAATCCAACCATGCAATCATTTATCACATTGTTAGATTCCTTTGTTACCTTCTACTTAGCTGTAGAAGTTGACAACAAATTTTGGGTTTGGGAGTAATTTGAATAAGCAAACCTCATCTCCCTTAAAACTGGATTCTCCAGAATCTACAAATCCAATTTCCAGATAAGAAAAATATGACAGACACTAACCTAAATTCCACAAAACTCTGCTATAGAAATAATCCAGGTATTGAAATGATTAATAATGATAAAAATAATGATGGCAATTCTGAAGCAAAGTATCATAGTTCCCAAGTCTAAAAGCAATAATCAGTAAGTACCATGACAGAAAAGCCTTACAGTCCCACTTACAAGTCAGTTCAGCTATTTTAAATTAACACTTCCTAAGTGCACAATTCTTAGGCGTTTAAGTCCCACAGTAACTAAAATAAAGAAGCACACAACACTGAACCACGTGCAGTGAGCCATGACTCCCTTAGCCAGCGCTCTGAAGTTTGCCCCAGTGGAATTTTGAGATACCTTCCAACAGATGTTTATTTAGGCTTGGGGAAAAATGGTATTGCTGAGTAATATATAATCAGAAGTTGAAGAGGTCCCTCCTTTGCTTTAGTCATCTCTTGACTTCCCTCACATGGCTGCTCTCACCAAGATGAGTGAGTTGGTCTTGCTTTGGAAGATGCACATTTTTGTTCTCTTTGTCAAGGCAAAGCAGCTGATCTTGACAACGCAACTTCAGCTGAAAATGTCCCAACACATTTTAAGCATGTGACTAGATCTTCTATTACAGACCCCTCTGAAGATCCCTCACTGAAAGAAAGGAAACATCCTGAACCTGCTAAGGACAGGGGTAGGAAGGATAAGGGCTGTGCTATTTCTGGGCAAGGGAAAATCCTCAGATACTGCACTGCCAGTGGGCAGTGCAAATAGAAAATGAACTGGTATTTCACTGGTCCTTGAAGATGGGATTCATGGCTTTAGAGAATGCAAACTGTTACAAACATTTCTGGAAGGAAAAAATCCATTAAATGGAAAGCATGATAACCCTATGCTTCATGTCCTACCAGCATGCCTTAGTGCAGCCATTGGGATGGACTCTGGCATAAACACACAGACACTGATCTGGACACTGACAGATTCTGACAAATGAAAGATGACAGGAAGGTCAAATGTCAATTGTTAGTAGACGTTAAGTCGTATTTAATAATCCGGAGCCCATTAAACAGAAACAGAAGCTAAAGACAGACTGCCAAAACCCCCAGTCTTAGGCTGCATCAGCTCTTAAGAACCACAGAACAGTTTGGGCTGGAAGGGACCCTAAAGACTACCTTATTCCAACCACAGGCTGGGACAACTTCTACTAGCCCAGGTTGCTCCAAGCCCCACCCAACTTGGGTTGGAACAATTCCAGGGATGGGGCAGCCCCAGTTTCTCAGGGCAACCTGTGCCAGTGCCTCAACCATAGAGGTCCAAAGGTAGTACAACAGAGAAAGAATGTCGTGAAGTCAGAAATGAGACAGTAAGTTCCTCTGCAGTGTCAGATTCCAAGCTTCAGTGCTATAGATGGAGCCACTCTGAACTGTGGAAAATCCCTACATTTCCCACTCAGTTACTGTCCTTGGACATGCAGCAGCTGTACACTACGATGACAGTAGCTGGGCAGCATGTTGGAGGCAACACAGGACAAAGTATTAAGTTGTAGCAGTAATCTGGTTTTAGTATATACACTACAAGCACTTAAAACTGCAGGAAGAAGGCAAACTTCAGAGGAAAAGTACAGCCTATGGCTCACCTTTGCAGGTGTGAGGTTATTGTGGCAGAGAAGGGAACTCTGTCCTAAACTGTTCAGATGTGCAACTACATTGCTGTTCAAAATCTTCTTCTTTCTGCTCATTTAAACAGAGATTGTGTCAAACAAGTAGATTTAAGAGAGCAAGGCATGAGGAGGCTAAACTTGCAGTGACCAGGCATTCAGACTACATTGGGAATTCTACATGACATCTCTTGTAACAGTTCAGGAAGTTGGTATTTTGGGGGCTTGATAGGTTGTACTTAACCTGTCTAACAAGGACCCTGCATGAAGGCTAAGTATTCCTTGCTCAGAAAGGTTTCTATCAGGAGGTCTGGAATGGAGATGATTGTCTAAACAGCTACCTAGATGTTTTTATCTTCAATACTACTCCTTCAGTTCTCATCCAAGAGAAGAGCTTGAATTAAGTGGCACACAAATACAAGGATTTCATAAGGCAAGGATTCAAGTGAAAATCCAGACAGATTTTAGAAAACACAGTAATTGTTGTCCTGAAGTAATCCCTGATTCATACTCAAGTCTAATGTATGTATGCTGCCCAACAGCAACACCAAACCAGCTCCTTTAGAGCTCTGCTTTCTTAGCTGAGAGCTGCTGTTCAAAACGCAGTTCTTCCTTGCCCAAAACTCATACAGGTACAAAGGTGATGTCGTGGCTTATGTCCTCATGGAACAGAATAAAATATCTAGACGAAACATGATCATCTACTACTGCAGTGAGAGGAATTGAAGACTGCTCAGAAATTTGAAATGAAATTTAACTGAACTCAAAAAATCCCACTCCACAAACAGTCTTTTAGGCAATCATAAAGTAAGAGGCTTTGTACCTTCACTACAGCTTCTGAAATGCAATATTGAGATTTAAAAGATTTCTTTAAAGCATAAAGATATAAATAAATGAATTTACTTATAAGCAACCTTCTTTTTCACTTCTCTTCTTAAAATCCTATGGATTTTTACATAGAATCATGGAATACCCTGAGTTGGAAGGGACCCACAAGGATCACCAGTGTCCAACTCCTGTGAACTCCAAAACACTCTGAGGTTACTTTGCTTTTGAATCCTAGGGGTTTTATCCAAACCAAGACTTAGCAGCAGTCCAGGCTGCATTTCCCTAAAGGGCACACACAAAGAGGATTGGAGGTGATACAGGAGCAGGTGAGAGTAAGAAATTGTATAGGGCAACATTTCTTTATTTGACATTATATTCTCTAAATGACATCCTGTAAAAATCCTGGGTGGTCCACTACTCCCCCTCCTGTGGAACTCCTCTCCACCAGCCCTTCCGCTTCCTGCCACACTGGTTTTGATATCCTATAATTGAAGGAGACCACAAACTTTGTAATCCATGTCTGTGACACATGTAGTTGACTACTGTCTTGTTTTCACCTAGAAAATATTTTTTTCTTTACACTGACCAAGCAAAAGAACATTTGTAACAGCCTCTTAGTCTGATGTGGCCAGTTTGAGCCATTAAGTATTTCTCAACACTGTAGGACCATCACCCCCTTACTGCATTTCTGCACACAGTACCCACTGAGAGGCCTTTGCACTACAATTCTCTTTTAAATTCATTTTACCTAATGAGTTATTAATGTTGTCAGCAGGGAAGATCAAGGAGATGACTGTTCAGGTAACCAACAAACAATCCAGTTAAGCATCATGTTCTTACCTCAAGTACATACTTCTCTAAAGATCTGATGTTTTCCAGAGCCTCTGGATCCTGATGGATAACTACTACTTCTTTCAAGGGATACTGGGGAGAAGGGAAAAAAATAAAACAGAAAATTAACTATCCAGTTTTCCCAGACTTATCCCAAAGCTACAAAGCTGCTACACATACCAAGGTATGATAAGAGCTGTAAAGAGTTCTGACCTTGACTGGGATGGTTTTTCTGTCTCTGATGACTCGTCCAAGCTCAATCACAGACTGCAAACAAGAAACGGCACTTTCAATTTTTTTGTCGATGAGATCCTCCCTAGATTAGAAAGGAAACATTATTATTGCTTCATTTTCAGCACATCTGTTTGAGCAGATTGAAAACATTTTACCCCTTCTCTGAAATTTCCTACAACAGACACAATTATGCACTGGTTGGGGCAATTTGAAAAATGAACACAGAGGTTTTTCCTCTCTCTCTCTGTGGAAAAGATGAGGAAGAAATAACTTGCTGAGAACAAATAACAGAGCTATTTTTAAATCCTATTTTGCTAGCACCTTCACAAGGTGGAGAAGATGGATTGAGTCATACTACCTATTCTATCAATAGCCGATAAAAAGTATAATTTACATTAATAATAGCATAAGAAGATGCAAAAAGATACTATAATTAGGGTACTTATGACAAGGAGTTACCTATAACATAACAATTCACTGGATCTCAATTCATCATCTTCTCCAGGAATTACAACTATTTGAGCTCGATGTTTTAGACACTCTTATCATCTTTCCTGGCTTTACCATTTTTACACCCTTCCATTTGGAGACAAGGCAAGGCTGGGGGTTTGGGTTTTTTTTCCCTTTCTTTTTGGCCTGATCAGGGAGGATTTGGGTTGGGTTGGGGTTTTTTTTTTGACAAAGTTGGCATTCACATCTTGTTTCAAATGTACAAGAAGCCAAGAGTTCCATAAATGTGGCTTTCTTGATTTTGGAGTGGCTGGTTTAACTGGACAGCTCTAAACCCACACACCTGTCATAGAAAGACCAGAGGCATTGGTTCAAAAGACAGTTGTGAATAAAATTAACAAAGGTGCTTACTGTTAGACAAGTAGCAAAAGTACTGGGATGAACACCATGTTTCCAGTAAGGACTAGCCAGAAAACTAGAGCGGTTAAAGCCAAACTTACAAGTGAAATAGTTCCATCTTCTGTATTAGGGCTTTAAGATGTTAGCACCTGTTTTGAAGCTTTTGTTCTTCCAAAAGCATCTTTCAGGATGGTTCTCCAAAAACTTGGAAACATGTAAATTGCAAGATAGGAGATTTTGCTCCCAGAAAGGTTCATATAGGATAATGTGGCAGCATTTCACTATTCCTTGCCATTGCTTAACAACATTGTGGAGACACAAAATGAGAAGTTTTCACAGACTGAATGAACATTTACCAAAATTAATGCAACCCATCCGTTCAGACACTAAGCCACCAAGTACTACCTCAGTGAGGTTTGCAACACAAGTACTGAATCATGTTCAGTTGTGAAAGTGGCCAAGTCCTTCAGCTTTATCTGCACATACCCATCATACTGTTAAAGTAGCATTTTCTGTAACTGCCTCCAAAAATATCTCATACTGAGATATGAGACAACATTGTCCTTATGCAGTAATCAGAAAAACAGTCAAAGAAAAATGCAATTATATGTTTAGCAACTCAAGGTGAAACTCTAAATCCTCAACAATAATTTCATCATGAAAACACATCTTTTTATCTTATAAGGGAACAACTGATACACAGGGGATCCAATAAATTGCACAAACTAGCAAAAGACAAAAATCCAAACAAAATGCAGCACAGAGGAAAGCCATGCAAGCCACTCAAACCCATCACATGTTGGCATGATGCAGCAGCAAGTCAGGTAGCACTAACTGGAGTAAAAAGTGATTAAGACACTTTTAAACGCTCATGCTAAGCTCATGCCTGGCCTGAGTCCCTGCCAAGAGCTCACTATCCTTCCATTACTCTGTTCTACAGGAGCTCAGACCCACTCCTGACAGCTCACTGATGAGGTCTGCATTCTTTGATTATACATTCTTCACAGCACTTTCCCAGGGAACAGAAAATCAGCACCATCATTATGTCAATCTCCAGCTCCCTGTTGCAGTAACTCTCACTATTAAAGCCCTCAGAAACACCATACACCTTCCCTCAAAGGATATAACATCCATAAAAAAAACACCATTACAGAAGGCTTAAATTTTTAAACTGGCATGTAAAGTATCAAGGTCAGCTCCCTTGTCCTTGAGGGTTTCCAAACCGAGCTGCACCGCAACGGGAAAGTTCCTTCTCTTATGTTCAGTGACCAAGAGCAGACTGAGAGGCAGAAACTAACAATCCACTAATGTATCACCAAGGCACTAACAAGCAACTGATTACTGTAATGCTAATGTCTCCCTTGGCTGGGTAAAAACCCCAAAAGTAACCCAAAATACTTCAGCTGCCAAATTCTACCTGGGCCGAGCTGATATTAAGGATGCCCCAGAGTGTACATCCTGTACAACCATCATGGACCCAAACCTCTGTGGGACACACTGGCACTTCCAACCAAACATCACCCATCAGCACCCACAGAAGGCTCTGTCTGGAAAGCTCTCCTGCAGATGAGGGGTACTCTTACAGCAAAGTGGCCATCTCTGGACAGTGGCCTAAATTCCTGACCTGGAGCCAGAAGAACTTGCTCTGCTGGCTCTGTGTGCGGTCCACACAAACAGCAACCATTCCAAACCTTGTGGGATTTGGCATCAGCACTCACTAAGAAAGGCCTGGAGATGAGGGACACACTTACTCTTGCCAAGGTAGGGCCTGCAAGGAGGTTTGCTGATCCTTTTGGGCCCCTCACAGGTAGGTGCTGCAGCTTTTAGTCAGCACATAGCTTGAGGAGTAAAAAGGATACTCCTTGCCCACTACAGGAAAAACAGTGAGTTGGGAATATGCATTCCTCCTAATCTTTTTCCTTCCAATCTGCAAGCCTTTAACCTAGCACAAGTCACTGCCTAAATGTGAAGGGAAAAGAAAATTCCCAGGTAACACAGAGTGAGGTGTTAAGTGTACTGATAGCGAAATGTTCTCTTACAGCAAAGAGACTAATATTAATCAGAGCTCAATCAAAACTTAAACATTTCTTTTGCTTGTAGAAAACATGTTAACTATCATCCTAAAATTTTTGCTGAGGCAAAGAAATATTCACATTATTAAAGCAGTTGGTCTTCTTGTTATGCAGAACAGCTTTAAACACAAGTCAAGGAGCACTGTCCTGTTAAAACCCAAGAATCCTCCAAATACCCACACCAACAACCAACCAACACCCAAGAAAACCACAGCTCCACTTTGCCACATAACAGCTGCCTCTTACCTGACTTGGGGAAGCATGAGGTAGTGGATGCTTTCAGTGTTCTTTTCCTGAACTGAGGCTGGATCAATAAGTGTTTTCAGATTCTGGTACATCAGCTCAGTGATAAATGGAGTATATGGTGCCTGTAATGTTGCATTCAATCATCATCTTTTCTTTATTGCTTGTACATTATGAATCAGTAATACTATCAATTGCATAAGGACAGTTCAGCAAAAACAATGTTTACACAGTGTCTTCAGCTGTGATGTTATTCAAAATGCAGACTGAAATAAATCACGAAATTGGTACTACCTATTCATCTCCTTCCTGATATTTTGGGCATCAGGTAAGAAATCATGACTCTATTAATCTGGTAATATTTGCCTTCTTTATAGTACCACAGGGTAGATAGAAGCAAATAGAAGTGGGGGGTGGAAAATCAACTGTGCTACACAAAATGCTTTTACATTAACTACATTCAAGAGTCAAATAGTGACAGTGGGCTGCAATTCCCTTACCATAAGTCTGCACATGGAGAACAAAACACTAAATAAGGTTTCCAAGGCCATAATGCAGTCTTCAGTCCCATTCTCGCCCTATATGGAGAATTCACCAAGAAAGAAAGCAATTTTAGGATCAGTAAGTGCACATGAATAAACTTCCAAAATTTCCTCTATCATTGCAATACACTAGTTTTCCAAAGTGTATTCATTTTGCTCAATTCCATCCAGAGAGTGCAAGAGAATTAGTGGGCATTTTGTTGGGCTGGTTTTTCTCACAAAGAGAAGAGGAGGAAAAACCAGTTAACTTCTCATTCACACTCTCAGCACAAACTGATAGCATCTAAAATCAGCATGCAGATTTTGTGTAACACCATGGAGCTGCTATGCATTGCATTAACACAGACTACTGGGATTTTGTTCCCAATGCAAGGCTGGAGAGGCACATCCCTACCTTTAGTCTTCTGCGATTCATTCTGACATACCAGTTGGTCAGAATATCAACAAACTTCACTAACCGAGGGACTACCGTGTACAGCCTGTAAGCTAGAAGAAAACAGTGTTTACTGGAGTTAGTATTTGCCCTCTGCACCAAGCTCCTCACTTAGAAAAAAACACTCTTGCTTGCAGCTCTGGTGCCCAGCACAGACCTGGAGCAGCAGCACGTACAGGAGTGAGCTCAGAGAAGTGACTAGACACATGATTATGTTAAAACTGCATTTGGAAATTGCACATCATCAATTCTCAGGCTTCAAGACAAACACATCCACCACCAAATTGCTTCCCTAATCCCACACAAACAGGCATTATGGAAGCCTTATGCTTTTATCTGACTCATAAAGAGGATAGTGGATAAGAGACTATTAATCGCAAAGGATTTGGCAAATCCGAGATTTGCACATGCTGCAAACGCAGCCAAGTCACTGTAAGTTTAACAGAAATCAGTGTAGAACCAGAACATTTTCTTACTGCCAACATTTCCCTTTTTGCTCACCAGATTTGAAATGAGACACCTACTTCAGCAAATCCTCCCCAAGTTCACTGCCAAAGTATTTTTCTAGGTAACACGGTAAGCTAAAGGATGTGAAGCAGCAGCAAGGCTGACAAGCTGAGAGATAACAGAGCTGTATTTTCAAGTTCTGTGTAACTGCAAAGCCTGGAGGACTGCCAGCACGAAGGTCACCACCAGCATCACTGTGCAACTGGAAAACAAATTTCAGTTGTTCAGGAGAAAATTAGGGGGTGGGGATGGACCCCATTTTAGGACTCACTTTTCTAAGGAACAACCTGTATATAAATTCTCTAAAAGCAAAAAGCTTTTTGGTCTCTATTCTGAATCAGTTTCATTAATCAAGCAGCTGCTGAGTACAATGAATCTTGGCTTTAAAAGCTCCACCACACTTCTAACTGCATTTTCTAACACAGAAGTGTTTTTAAAGGCAGAGTACTCATATTTAAACCTAAAAAGGAAATGCTCAGAAGATGCATGCCACAGAAGACATTATTTACGTGGGAATTCATATTCCTAAAAGTTGCAAGCTCTCCTCTAGCTATGTATTATCCAGTCAGGAGACTGGTTAAAAACAAGTGAAAAAGCCCCTCAAAAAACCCAACCTTCAGGGACTGTGACTTTAACAAGAGATTCGACTCAGCTTGCAAACACGCATTGTTCTTCTCAATCACTGCAGTCCCAGTTCATGAACCAAAACGTGAAACCTTCATTTTCCATGATTCTAAACATAGACATGGGATGTACATGTACATGGAAACATGTGAACACACACACTTTCACTTTCAGCCATCAGGAGAAAAGTTGCTTTGTGAAATAATGGCTTGTATTGGGGCACTTCAGTAGGAGAAAAAAAACAAGCATGAGTCTTCCTGATTTTAAAGACAGAATTTTATAATCCCCTAAAACAAAAGATTGTTTGCCCTATTACTCTCCCTAATATCTTCCCAACATTTTGCTACCTGTGCTATTTATCAAAGGGCCCAAAGCCCACGAGTTTCCATCACAACAGATGAACTTTAGTGGAGAAACTATACTACTATTCCATAGCCAATAACTCATTTCGGTGTGCTGCCACCAAAGTGAAGCTCCACCAGCCACTGCTGAAGAGACTGGACATCCCCCCCACCCAAAGCTCTCTCAAGTATCTCAAAGTTGGAGAACACACAGGTACATTTCCCCTTCCCCACTCAGCCCACTCCAGTGAGGTCAATACTACCCTGACAGGGACTAAATAGGCTGACACACTGCTCTTCGAGCCGCCAACAGAAACGGGGGCAGGATTAACATAAGTTTTCCTTAATGGAAGCATTTTTCCAGAGGCAATTGGTGTCAAATTTAGCTCCACTCTAAAATACACTCGATGAAAGGGAAGCAGCAAAGCTCAGTTGCAGCATTTCTCTGCTGGTGGTGTCTGCTCACCACTAATATTTTCAGCCTTGTGTGTTCTCCCACTCTCTGCCACTCTGAGCTGCAGGAACACATGGCACAGCACAGTTCTCTGGCACACAGTGCCCAAACACTAGCTCAGCATCACTGCCTCAGCTGGTTTAGACAGGGCAAAACCAGCAGGATTTTATGCATTTGACAAGTGTGGCATTAGTTGGCAAATGCCACATCTACAACAGCTTCTAAAGCTATTCTGTTCATTCTTATTATTTATAAACCTTGGGTTCCAAACTGAAGCTTGTGCAGTATATTTATCTCCTTTATCTAACATTTGAGGCTATCAGTCACCATTTTAATCTTCCCTTGTCTTTTCCTGACATTGTTCTTCCTTCAAGTGATATGTAGTAGAAGAATCTTTTTTTAAAAAAAAAAATAAAATCCCAAAATAGGTTTGTAAAGAGATTAGCATGAAGAGTATCATGCCACAGGACACAAATTCACTGCATTTCACCAGTATCTGCCTCTGAGTTCAGGGTTTGTGCAGAAAAATAAATTGAAAAATCCTGTTTATGAATCCCTTCCAAATGAGACTGTCACTCATGTGATGAGCACATGATGTTATCTCCATCTAACACAAGACAACAGCATTTCATACCAACACGACTGTCTTAGAAGTCTTTACACACATTTCTGTTTAAACCATGCACTGATCTGAGATCCCAAGTTCACAAACTCACAAATTAATCTTCTGCTGTCTCTCCAAGTATTTTGCTCTTTACATGCAGCACGTAAACTTATGTAGCTCTGCATGTTTCTGCTTGGCAACACATGAAGCTCTAAATACACCACCATCAAATCTCAAGGACAAAACTTGTAGGAAGAAACATTTTCACCAAGAAGAGACAGCTTACATCATATTGCTGGGGTGGTAGCTTGAGGATTCTTTCTTCCTTTAATGAAGTGTTCTTAGATGACTTCACATGAATTTTGAGAGTACCAAAATGATACTTTTAATCTTTTATTATTTTACAGTAAATTTTACTGTAGGCAAGAGCAATTTTGAGATTCAGATTAGATGTTAGAAAAAATGTTATCCCTGTCAGGGTGTTCAGGCACTGGAATAGGTTGTCCATGGAGATGGTGGAGTTGCCATCCCTAAAGGTGTTTAAGAGGCATCTGGATCTGGTGCTGGAGGATATGGTTTAGGGTTTAGTGGTTACCCCACTAACACTTTCCTTCCCCAAGCCCAAGGCTTCTAAAAATTCTTCTGAGGGCAACCTAAGATCAGAGGCATGAGGGAATTATTTCATCAACAGAAGCGGCAATGGCCAAAGCCTCCTTCCTTCCTGTTTAGGGTTCTAGTGCCCTTAAAGGCACCAAAACCTCTTCAAATCCCACTGTGACTTCAACTGCAAGTTTGTAAGCTTCTTGCATCAGACCACCAGCTATTTCAGAGGCCCTTTGCAGCACCTCCTCTTTGCAATTAATATTGTCTTAATGCAATGTGAGCACTGAGAAGTATGGGATCATGAAGAAGACAACATGCAGAAAGAAAACCCAGGAGAGTACTTTCTTGCAGCCCTGCAATATGCTAAATACTTTCCATCCTGCTGCACACACTCCCAGTAAGATTCCAAAGAAACCCTCTCAATGGAACTATACTGGGGAAAACTGCATTGCCAATGCTCATATACCTCTCAAAATTATTTTATTCAGTTGATGAGCACTGCCCATTTTATCCTGGTTTTACAGCTTCTCCAAATTCTATTTGGCTTCCTTTTCACTGCTGTCTTTCAGTTATTAGTCTAATGTTATTAATTGCTCCAAGCACTGCAGAAGACATTGTTACAGCAGCAAGCTCCATCACTGAGATTATAGGATTAGCCATGACAGAAAAAGCTTCACCACTCTTTGAAATCTCATGACCAAGCATAGAAAAATCTGACTTAACACTCATGAAAGCAGCACTCCTTGTATTATGGTAGCTGGTTAAAGATTTCCTTCTCTTTATGAAGTCTCTTGCAGAATTTGGGAAATATCTGGACACAATGGTGAGTTCTCTAATCAGAACTCAAACACCCACATACCCCCCAGAGCAAAGCTGCATACCTGCCATTTCAGCTTTGAAGAACTGAATGAGTGACTGGGTGAAAGAAAGAATCCATTTGTCCATGATGTTATTGCTCTCCTTAACTGTGTTCTCATTGTACAGGAATTCTCTTCCCTCATCCTATCATCAACATAAAAACAGAACACATTTTCAAGTCATAAGGGTATATATTCAAACCTCTACATCCAATCGCCTGTCAGCCACCAGAATTTTGAGAACATTAAATTCCAGACACAGGTGTGTCAGCAAAAGAGCTAAGGAAAACCTGCCTCCCACTGCAGCCTCACCACAACTTTCAGCTGCAAAGGAGGCCAGTGACTTGGGTCTGCCAGAGCAGATCCAAACCAGGACAGCACACAGAGGTATGCAGTTGTTCTTTCTCCATGTGCAGTGTAAGTCCCACCTTCCACACACAGGGCAGGACCTTGAATTTATCTAACTCCTTCATCCAGAAGGATCTGAGGCATTTACAAGAAACATACTATGAAGCTGGATTTTATTTGGAGAAGGGACACAGAAACAACACCATTAAAGAGCATGTGGCAATTTCAACAGGTTAAAACACAGAAGAATGTAACACCCTGAAAAAACAGGTGGAATCTTTAGGCGCCCAACGTGCGTACAGTGCATTTTGTTGCTTTCCAGAACACTGATGATAAATGCATCCATCAAAAGTGTAGGGCAGCGTAAGCAAGACCACAAGTAAGCACACTTGTTTGTGCCTACAGTCTCATGTGTACTGAATGCTCTTACGATGGGTTGAAAACATGTGGGGTGGTTTATTTTTTCTCAGATTTACAATCAGTATTTAACATCTGGTTTTAAGAGTCTTTGGACTTCCCACAGAGTTCAGATGAAAAAAATCTGTTTGGATTATTTGACACAGAAATTATGGATCCACTTACATAGCACAAACGAGAAGGTTCTTAGGAAAAAACTGCAGAGGTGCAGCAATCTCAGCATAAGGTTAGCAATCATTTAACCAGCTACAATTACTGTGAGAATTACAGTAAGCATAAAACCATTATTAGACTCATCCAGGACATAGGGATTGTAGTTTCTCTCTTTCATTGTATTCTGCTTCCTGCAAAAGTTGTTTAAGCCTGTGCATGAAATATAATTGAAGCATTATCACCTCCAACAGCACATTCTTCTGCCTTATATGACTGGATAGGAAGGGTTTCACTATCTATTTAGGCAGAATAATTACATCTGCTGAATTACCAAAACTAACTGCTTAAGCACCTGGATTTTCCACTGGAGTCTCCCATCCCCAACTGAGCTGATCTTGCAAGATTTAATGGGATCGCACCAAATGCTATAAAGTACACTTTAGACAATTCAGAGGTCAAACAGGATAAACAATTACATTTTTGGGGCAACCTGTAAGTTTGCCTGATGAACACTGTCTGGGGATCCTAAGAAAACACTTGCTAAATATTAGGATCTGGAGTTAGCAGTCTTTCTTCCCAAAAGAGGTTGTTAAAGAGATAAAACCATTTAAGTCAGCTATTTGTTGTACTGATTCTGAAGTCAGCTGCGTGTTTGGCCTAGATGGCAGCTCTGCAGTGCCCAGGCTGCTACTGCAACAGCATGTGTAGTACAAGGTTTGGACTTTGCCTTTCGCTCCCACTCTGCCAGGAAAGTTTGCACTAACAAGGGGTAACCTTCTATCATTAGTCACAGCTGAAAGATTAAAATTGGTTTCAATAGAAACCATACAATATACACATCAAATCTTAAATTTAAATGAAAAATTAGAATAAGAAATTCTAATCTTGCTCTGAAATTGTAAAAACTCATGTCACTCATCCAGCATTTTTAGCAGACTTCAAATGTTATCTACAAGTCTAAAGCATTATTGCTTTTGTAATTTGCCTTTCTTCCCATTCCACTTCTGAATTTTTTTCTAAGTTGTATTTAAATTTAACTTTTAAAAAAATAACTGTCATGTTACAAAAGGCAATCTTCTTGCTGTGGCTAATGGATTCAGGATGGAGTATTCCCAAGTTAAGCATTTTAATGCAGATTCATAATTAAAGTTCCAGTAAATGAGTTAGTTCAAGAAACTGTCACAGCAGCCACTACTGAAAATAACTTTCATGACTTATTTGCAGTTCTCCTTGTGTTAAATCTGTATGCTAGTGAGCACTGTTCTCAGTGCAGGGGAACTGGCAGTGCAGATGCCATCCCTGACAGCCTCCTCCCTGTGCTGGAGCTGTGCCTGCCAACACAGCACAAGGCAACAGCAAAGGAAAAGCAGCAGCAGCAGCACTGAGGGAGAATCAGTGGTACCTGTTGCCTCCAAGCTGCTCCATAAACACTGATATCAACACCCAGCAAGGTTCAGCATGGCCATTTCAGAAGGATTCCCTCAAGCACACGTGGTACTTGGCTTTTAACTGGTGTTCCCAGCAGGTAATGGCCCAGTTTGTACTGACCCCACAAACACCAAGTCCCTATCTTGTTCTCTAATTTCAAGAGTATGAATGCAATAGCATCACACTGAACTGAAATAAAACGGCACCAAGAGCACTCTAACCTGAGAAATTATAACTGTTCGGTCTTGACAGTGCCCTACCTTCCACTCCACCTTTCTATAGAATAAGCTTGGGGAAGGAGAGAAAGATGCAGGTGATTACAGCTTTACAGAACACAGTTCAGACAGCAACAACACAGAAATTAACAGCAAGTGTGTATATATATATATATACACACATATATATATATATACACACAAAACCTGAGCTAACTTTTAAGTCAGCTTTGTTTAGAACAAGGAGGTAAAGATCAGATCACCAGAGTGGGAGGCTCAGACCTCCCTTCCAATCTAAATTTCCTTATGATGCTAACCCAGTCTAACCATGGAAGACGCACAAAGCCCCTTTCTTTGAGGCATCTCAGCACTCAAGAGATCTGTACCTTATGCTGCAGGATCTGGACGTTCTGAACAAGGAAGCGATAGGCATTGTACCAGGGCAGGAACACATCCTTCAGAATATCCCTCACTCCTTCCTCCTTAAATCTCAGGTTTTCTGCTCTTACCACAGGAGAATTGATCAGATATAACCTGCAAAATAAGAATGCAAGACTTAAAAGCTTAAAACTGATACTGACAGAAATGCACTAAAACGTACAGTAAACCCTGGAGAGATTCAGAACAAGAGAACAGGACACAAGGGACCAGTTCCACATTAAGAACTGTTACTGTAGGCATGGAACATATTGAACACAGGACAATTTACTTCCTAGTGCCACAGCATTTTTTTTTTAAGATACTGCATACAGAGTTTGAATTTAAATTTCCTTTTTCACTCCAGGAGTTAATTAAGTGCTAACCCATCTCAGATGCTATCACAGTACAAAATGAGCAGAGGCTGCATGGAATTAGCGTTCATCTTTGGAACGGCACCTATTGCTGTGGTAATATTTCAAATTCCTTAACCACAACCCAGTACCTTTCCACTCAATCTAGTTCACTCCCTAATTATGAAAAGCTCTGAGCCCATGGCAAAGACAGAGGTAAGGAACAAGGCAAAACAGCAAATCAAAGGAAAAGAGCAAAAATTAACGTTTTCAAGACAGCCAGCCCCAAAGGAGGGCAAAGGCTGTACCTCCTGCCAATACAAATGTGCCTCAGCTCCAGGGACAGCTCAGAGACCAGAGGATCCAGGGGATGCTGACTCCTTACCCCAGGCACAGCCCTTCACTGAGTCATGCCCACCCTAGACAAGGGGGTTTATCTGCACATGGAACCCACCCTCCCTATGGAGATCCTCCTTGGGTCAGTGTGTCTCAAGCTAACAGTTCCTCCCTTCAGAGACACAGGTCCCTCAGCTTCCCTGCTGGCTGCCACTTCACAAAAACCATCTTCATACTTTATCCCATTTCTTCCCTAAATAAACATTCTGGCTACAGAAGTAAATTGGTATTTGTCAGCTCAGAGAGAAACCAAATCTTACGCAGGTATCAGAAAACCTGGGATACAAGCTTGATTTAGATACACTTAATTTTCTAAGTATGAAAAAAAAACCCCAAAATTCTTTAAAGACTGTGGCATTTCTCAAGAGATATTTATTAAACCATTTTCTCTCATCTTATCAACTTTTACAATCATGATTCTAGACTAGTCTAACTTTACAAGCACTTCCTTTAGGAGGCTTTAAAATCTTAATAGAGTTTGACACAGCACATTCAAGAATACCAGATCATAAATTCTTCAGGAGAGAGGGCTTCTTGCATAAAAACGAATAGATAAAAATAGAGCTGCCAGAATAAACAGACAGTAATCGAGCACAGAAATGTGCCTTTTCAGTACTGTATTGAAAAAAAGGAAATTTTTCAACACAGAATCCCAGAATGGCTTTGGTTGGAAAGGACCCCAAAGATCATCCAACTGAATTCATATCTGAATTCAGATTATAAACAAGCAGAAGTACAGAACAATTAAGTGTGGTAATGAACTAGTTAGTCCTTAGATGAAAACAGAATTTGTAAGTCTATCTATAAACCAAATCTTCCATCACAATTATTTGTGTGCTACAGTTTTGGCAGTGGGTTTTTTTTTGGCTGGTTGGGGGTTTTTTTGTAATACAGCAGCACTACACTGCCTTACAATCTGTAAATGTTAAAAGAATAGTAATTTCCTAAATTATTCCAATGCAAAGATACTTATAACTATCCTATGGGAAGATAAATAAGGCACAGAACAAAGGGAGAGCTGTAGCAATTTCGTTCTACCTGGTGATATTACCCGTTAGGCAGAAAAATCAAACCTTGGTCAGATCAAGCCAGTGTTACCCAGTTTTCTAACTGTTTGAGGAACAATAAAGTAACCTCCTCTTCACCACCCTAAACCAGCAGCCTGTGGCATTTTTTCTCCTGCATTTTAAGAACAGATTGAGAGGAGAATCTAAATCATCACTTCTAACAGCAATACTTACCTCAGGATACATGAAAACAAAGGGCTTGGAAATTCCATGACCAGCAAATTCCTTCTGACATAGTTCAACTTTGACAGGTATCCAACCCACGTCACAGGTCTCAGAAATATTAATCTATAACTGTTCTGGCAGTTCTTATGGGTTTCACTCAGGATTTCAGTTTCATCAAGTCTGAAGTTTGGGTTGTTAAATTAACTGTGCTGTTAGTTCTGCTGTTTGCCTTTTCTACTCAATTCCATATTCATTTAAACAACTTATATCTATATTTTCCACTGATCTATTTATCAAGCTACTGCTGAGAATACTTCAAAGTTGTAGTTAAAATATACATATATATTTGTGTACTGCAAAAGCTAAAGAAGCTCTGCAAGAGAACAGTGCCAAGGAAAAATCCTCAGTTGTAGCTTTTTCTGTAAACAGAGCACATGGAGTGCTTCAGTGAATAAGCAGAGAACTGAATTGCAGAGCTCCTTCCAGAAATGAGCCAAGGCTGCAATGCTTTTTACTCCCTGTGTGGGTGTAGGTATAAATAAATGTGACATTAAAGAATGAGTACACAGGCAGAAAAATGAATTAGCTTTTTAGAATAAAAAACCCCATGAATAATGGAAGTGTAAATTCTGTGTTTGAGATTTTTGGTTTGTTTATAAAAAAAGGAGGTTTTTTTCCAACAGAAACATCACCTGTGATGTAAAAGCCTTCAGTTCTTCTCACTCACATTATTCCAGCTACCAATTCACTGACATCCTGTGAACATACCTTGTTTTTTTTGTAAAGAACAATCTTGATCAAATTTAAGAAATCCACCCATGTCTCCACTGTAAGCACAGAAGATCATGTACTAAGTCTTTTAAATGCTAAAGCTTGAGACAATAAGGAATTTGACACTGGTTTCTTAAAAATTACCTAGAAGCTGCCACAACTATCTGCCTCAAATAAACAAAGCCCCACGGTGCACTAAGCTTTCATTCAGCCCCAGCAGTGCTGTGCATAGCTGTAACATACAATTCAAGGGGGGTGCTAGTTTAATGTTTTTCTTATATACAGCAAGAATTACAGGGCTCTTGAGAAATGCCTTAGTGTGCTCCTGTAGTTATTAAAATGTCTTTACTGTACCTTTAGCTCGAGGTACCACTTCACCCATGTAGTTAGTGCATCAAGCCACAGCACCAGGCAACTGTGTAATTGCTTTAGATGTTAGTGCAGTTTTAATGAACCACTTGAACTGTGTTTAATCTCTGTTTGACCAGGACAATTTATATATACACATTAGGCTGCTCCACTTTCACTCTTCTGCTTTCACTACTGTTAGGTACATATTATATACTCAGATCAAAAAAACCAAAGTAGCTTCTCTTTAAAAAATACATAGTGTAAGCAGCAAACAGACATTTTGTGCATTATACAGCAATCTGTCCCTAAAATAATGATTTAACAGTAAACAGGAGTATTGATCTCAAAGATTTTATTTCAATTTTCACTGTGTTAACTATCAGCTGCAATAGCAGACAGTGCTGGCTCCAGTAAAAGCATTCTGCACAAACCAGACACAGGTCTCCAGTCAGCACATCAGCTTGGGCTGTTACCACCCTTGAGGGATACAAGACAAGTGTATAAAAGTCCAGGCACTATAACCATTGCCAGTTCTCTGAAGTCATCCACTCTTTCATCTATTTGGCTGTCACAGTGGTCTAGAATTCCCAAAATTAACTTTCTTCCTGCTAATTAGCTGGTGGGCTAATTGTCAAAAGCCCACAAGCAGCCCTCCTGGAACACATCTGCCATGAATGGAAAGCTAACACATCACACTGTACTTCACCAAAGCAATCTTACCTTAGTGCATCAGCTCCGTAACTATTCACAATATTCATTGGATCAGGATAATTCTTCTTCCTTTTGCTCATTTTTTGGCCATCACTAGAAAAATACCAGAATGTAAGCATAAGTTCCCAGAATTCTTGTAATACAGGGATAAAGAAAAAAGACTCTCCACATTCAGCTTAATTTTTCTGTCCTATTATTCTCTTGGTTGCACCAACATAATTATGTATTAGCACACCATTTCACTATGACTGTTAAAACCACAAGAGTAACTGAAAAAAACCCAAAACCCAACCCAAGAGGCTTCCAAGTTACAAGTTTAAGCAGCAAATCTTTCTTTCCTACCAATGCTGAGGGAAGATGCACTTGTTTTGAGTCAATCCCTCCAGCCCACTAGCAAAGCTTTACTCAAAAATATAAATAACTTAAAATTACAACTAAAACTACATTTATCATCCCCTTTACTCTGCATAACACGGAGAATTTAATTCCTATTCTGATTTGTTCTTCATTTTCTCTCTCTCTAGGCAGAACTAATCCTGCTGGAAAGAACCTAGTGCAACAGACAGCTCAGATGTGCAAACCTCTTGCTCTCAGATGCCTCTTATCTCCTGCAACACTGATATCACCCTGACAAGTCTTAACAGCTTCAAAGTCCATTTCAGACTTATCTGAAACATTCTTTGACTGAAAGTCTGCTGAGGAAAGAGCTGATTGACACACCAACCTGGCAAGAACAAGGCCATTCACAATGACATTCTTGAAAGGAGGCCTTCCAAAGAGAGCAGTGGACAGCACCAGCAGAGTGTAGAACCTGCAACAAGAGACAACATCAACTTGACCTTCTAAATAGTACAAGCCAAACTCTGCATGTCTTCTTTAGCATAGAAATGCTTCATTATGTTGTTTTCCTCTAGCAATGTTAAAATTAAGTCTGTGGAACCTTTCTGTGGCAAAGAGCTTATTTTAAGTGGATGATCTTCCTCTTTGTAGCCTATCGTGCTGTTTGCTCAGCTGGTATCTACAAGTCCAAGAAAGCTGAAAAATTGTAATAGGAAGGTCCTGAAGAAAATTGTAGCATTTTCCCCTTTAATACAGAAAAGGGAATTCAGTCTCTGAAAAAGGTCCCTATTTGCTCACTGTAAACGTCTGAATATGGGATCAGTCAGGAACAAACACAGCAGGCAGGACCAGCACACTGTGTGTGTTAGTTGTGTATTCTTCAGCCTAGCAGGCAACAAAACAGTTACTGCTGGAAGCATAAAAGCAAGTCAAGAGGAGTGAAAGAGCCTCCTTCCAGTCAAGCCTACAGTATGACTGGAAGGAGGTTATGGTTAAATGGCTGAATTAGCTATTGTCAGAAAACACGAGAATGTAGTTGTTCCCACAGTGGTGGTTCCTCCCCCCTCCATCTGATGTGTTTACAATCACCCTATAAACTGTCTGGGACACTTAGGAAATCAGTGCCGGAGCAAGCACAGGCACCAATTGTTCAACAGGTTAATATATGATTATATGTGAGAAATTACATGGAGGTGCAAGATGATGTGATAATTCACACTCAAGAGTCCACCAAAGGAGGTATCTGTGAGCTGCTGTCACTGCACTGTTGGTAATTACTTTTAAGAAAACAACTGGAGGGTGGGTCACAGCTTTCCTGGTTCCAAATGAGTGTCACACTGACAGCTGCTTCACAACCTTCAAAGAGAAGGTGATTATAAAAAAAGCTATAATAAGGCACAGAACTATGAAACTACGGATCTGCACAACGATTTATTGGGAGGGGGAGGAATCCATCTGTATATTCCAAAGCAGTTTTTATCCAAAAGCTGTAATTGCAGAAGCATTATTCTGGCACTTGAGGGCCCTCAGTATAGGTTGCTGCCTGCATTACTGCATGTATTAAGTGACTTCCATGCCAACTCTGATTCTTATCTCCAAGAGGCCCCTAACTCTCAAAATCACCTCAACTTGCACAGCAGGATACAAATTCTTTTTATTAAAACTGCATTTTAATTTCATGAGTTTTAACCACCACTCTTCTACTTGCACTCAAAATCCCTGTCTCCATTTTTAACCTTCTTAAGAAAGCCCCTAAACAAACATCTGAGCATTTCCTTAGGTGTCCTCAGATTTCCTCTAGCCTGACAGTTCATTGCAAACACAGCAGTACTCCTTCAGTACTTACTACAAGGTTCCTCATTGACAAACTCCCAGCACTTTCTGCAAACCAGTCACAAATTCTCCTATTAGAGCACGTGCAGGTGCAGTTGCAGTTAAAAAGGACAAAGCAGAACCAACCAGGAGAGATTTCAATACTGTTTGTACCAGGAAAATGGCACAGACAGGCTGTGGGCACTGAAAAAACACAGCCGGGAGCATTTCACAAATTTTATGTTCTTTGCATTGCCAAACCCAACAAGTCTCAGCAGGAGGTACCTTAGTTGATGACAGTTACAAGACAGTCTTTGAGAACCTGTGATCCCCTAGTTTACACACCATTCTGATAGAACTCTTCTCACTCTTCCTCAGATAGTGCTTCTAAGAAAATTCACCTTATTCACTCTGAATATTTTAAAGGAGTATCTCTCTGCACCTTATTTTTGAAATACCTTGTCCACAGACATATTCGCTGCCTGACAACTTCCTCAATTTCTCTGGCTTCATGTTGCATTCACCAAATCTCAGTCTGCTTCTAGCATACTCTTGTGAGGACTCTGAGTGTCCCTGTCAGTCAACCAATAGTAGAGTACCACCACCTTAACACTACAAAGTCCACTTTGCTCTACTTCACTCCTCTCTTACTGCCCTCAAAACGGAGAAAACTTTCCCTCCCTTTTCTCCATTTGCTCCTCTCTTGAATAATTGTGGGTAACTTCATGATCCTGTGGTTCACACCAAAAGCTTTATCTGTGAATTCCCTGTAGGCCACCACATTCTAACCATGATTATCAATCTTGTTGCATCTCCCTGTATACAGAGCCTTTCCTACCAATCTGCCAGGACCGCCAGTCTTTCAAACCAGCTACTGTAAGACTTTTTCCTCTGATTTTAACAAATATAATTCAGCTCTTTCTCTTTCCATGCAGAAACCATCAAAAAGATCCCTCTCCTGGCTCATCACTTTGGTGACATTAATTTTCCCCTTGTCTCCCTTGACTTTCTCCCCTTCTCTGCTGAGTCAAGCAGAAGATCCCAGACCTCTAGCCCTCTCAGCCTTTCACCACATCCCAGTCCTCACTTCACGGCAGCTGCAGTCTCTGACCTGACAAAACCGATCTTCATTCTGAATCTTAACACTTTATGCTGAACATGTCAAATAAAAATCACATACTGTGCTCTTAACCCTTCAGAAGTCACCAGCTTGTTCTTCACTTAAGACCTCACACCTCAAGTCCTTGTTTCTTTCACAAAACACAAGAGGTCTATTGCAAATCACCCAACACTTGCTGTTAGCAAAGCACCAGCTTATCAACAGCTAGGAGCACTGTGGGAAAGGCAGGTGCACCAGGAATTGAGGCAGGTGTTTTGATATCCAACCCACAAACAGATGAAACAGACCTGCATTTGGGGAAGACTTACAGAAGTCTTGTGCTGTAACTAAAAGGAATCTACCCTAGACTGCAATGTGAAAGTCTCCACTAGCACTTGCCTACAGCACACAAGTCTGAGGGCTCCCACAAAGGGACAGCAGCTGTATCCACAACCACAGTGTCACTGCTGGCATTAGCATCAGCCAGGACTTCTCTTACTCCAGGGCAAAACTTCAATTGAATCAGTGAGATGATTCAGTTCAGCCTGCTAAGCAAAGGGTAAGAAGCTGCTTATTTACAGGCTACATTTACTATTTAGAAGTTTAGACTGAAAATGTGGTAATTAGTGGCTCTGGATGCTGCACTGCACTCAAGGTTAGATTAATATCACACGAGAGAAAGGTCAACTCGTGTAAAAGTTACAAACACCTTCTTTAATGGCACCTGAGAGCTTCACTGAACACGTGAGAGATCAGACTTACCCTTTCATTTGCTATGTTACCCACACATGCTTCAAAAGGAGAACACTGCCAGAAACCCTGCAGTGACTGTGTGAGACACATACTAATCCACTGTGGCATCCCAACCTCAAGCAGCTAAAACCTGAAACCAAAAATTGATCATCCCCCCCCCCCCCGTAACTACCAGGAAGAGATTTTGTATCCACATAAAAATCCCAAACAACTTTTAATTCTGCTGAATTTTCCCTTGCACAACGTAGCAATGATTACGTGTTATTTTTTTAAATTTTATTTCATTTTTTGGCATTTACATTACAATAAATGCCCATTGATCTTATAAAATGTAGCAGGGAGAAATTAGGTTTCTGCCCATGCCTTTTGCATATATGTTATGTTTTTAATTCTCCTTTTGTGACCATAAAGAACTGTTGCAGAATGACTAATAAATGGAATCACTAGTATTAAAACTTTTCAAGCTATTTTGCTGCATTCCTTCTTTGTTCTGACACTGTTCCAGCCTTTCCCAGTTCCCAGGGCACAGCTGCTGCAGAGTAGCAGTAAAACAAATATCACTTTTCTTCCAGATGAAACAGGTAAGATTTAAATATATTATAGTATCTAACATGCAATTTCCTAACTTAGCATTTGTCAGATTTGCAGTGCTATATCCACATGCTATAGGCAACAGTCAAGAAAACAAAGTAGATGAAGATATCAGGGTTCATGGTATTTCCTGGATCCAACACTGCCTGAAGAGCAGCAAGCACTGAACACAACATGTTTGTCCCTCAGCTGCTGGGTGGTTTCATGCTACTCAAGAGTATTTGGTTAGATACTAAGGACCTAGATAATGCTTTGCATCACAAGTAAGGGGTTGAAAAGTGATGACAACTCTTGCTATATTCTTGAAACTTTGCTGTATCTAGAACTATGCCTCAAGTGCTTCCTGCTTCAAGCATCCTGCCTTTGAGAGCAGGGACAAACCTTGCTCTCAGCTTCACTAACACACAAATGTCCAGAGAAGAGTAATGAGGCTGGTGACTCGAGCACAAGTGCCATGAGGAGAGGCTGAGGGAGCTGGGGGTGTTCAGCCTGGAGAAGAGGAGGCTCAGGGGAGAGGAGACCGCCCTCTACAACTCCCTGAAAGGAGGTTGGAGTCAGGTGGGGCTTGGTCTCTTCTCCCAGGCAACCAGCAGCAGGACAAGAGAGCATAGACTCAAGCTCTGCCAGGGAAGGCTTAGGCTAGATATTAGGAAGAGATTTTTTACTGAGAGAGTGATCAGGCATTGGAATGTGCTGCCCAGGGAGGTGGTGGATTCACCATCCCTGGAGGTTCTCAGGACAAGACTGGATGTGGCACTTAGTGCCATGGACTAGTAACCACGGTAGGGTTGGACTCGATGATCTTTGAGGTCTTTTCCAAACCAGCTGATTCTATGATTCTATGAAATTCCCACCTCTTCCTGCTGTTGGTTTGTTGGGTGAGTAGGGAGAGGGCAAAGGGAGGAGTCAGCTATGTTCCAGAGGAATTTATTTAACTCTAGTAACATCCTGGATGGAAAAGTTCTAGTTGTACATAGTCAAACAGACTAATTTAGAAAACACAAAATTCATCTTAATACATCAGCTTTCACAGTCAACCTCAACTTTCAGACACAGAATATACACTTTAAAATGCTAAAACTAAACCTGTATGATTGCATACAAGTATGTATGAGAACATCACACACAAAATCTGAGATTAGAGAAAAATTGTCATCAATGGTTGAAAAGCATTTATCCAGAGAGGAATCAAATAAGCAGATGAAGTTTACAGCTAGAAAATCTGGGGGTTTGTAAACCATAAGCTCTTAACAACATAAGGTTCGATTTAATTTGAGGTTTTTTCTGCATACATATAAATCCAAAACTCAATTTTAGGTACTCAAGGAGCAAAAATTACTAGGCTAAAAATTGGCCAGAAATCCTCAAAACATCAGCTTCTATTTCAACTGACTCAACTGCAGTTCTGTTTCTAGTAGATAATTCACATTCTATGAAAATTCAGCTGCTGAGATTCCTTCTTACCAGACCAAAGATCTGCCCTATTACCTAATCAAGTTTTCCATGAGAGTCATAAGATTCCTTCCTAACCTTTCACTTATGCAACATTTTAGCACCAAGCCTTGCATTTTACTGGAAAAAATGGAATCATACACTTATCTATACAATACTAAAGATGTTATAGTGTTAGACATAGATGAAGAACATCACATAAGAAAGTGGCAGAAAATTACCATCCTCGGGTTTGGTCAATGCCTTCAGCAATGAAGTCAGCAGGGAAAGCATCTTCAAGTTCTTTTTTGTTTTCAAAGGGGTAGTGCACTTGTGCATAAGGCATGCTGCCACTCTCAAACCAGCAGTCAAACACCTCAGGGATGCGGCGCAGACAGCCCTTGCCACAGCGTGAAGGAATAGTCAGGTGATCAATGCTGTGCAACAAAAACATTGACATACTCTAAACAAAAACAAGAATTAGCACAAGTCGTCAGCATTATGCTTGCACATCAGTTATGACAGGAGATTTGGTTTTAATTTTGATAATTCTTCCAAGATGTCAGCATTTCCTTTGATAATTTTAGAGCTTCAAGCTCTGTCAGAGATGGTTGGGGTTTTGTCTTAATAGTGCTCTACACAGAAGAAAGGAAAATTTATACCTGTTAATCAGAAGTCCTCTTACTACTTTTCCATTTTCCCTAAATCTGTTTCCCAGGGTTTGGGCAAAGAAAACCAGTATTTTCTTTTGTCTGCTCAACTATTTCTAATAACTAGTCAACAGTGTCTGTGACTGACCTTTCTCGATGGAGATCAGTGACCTTCACTCCAGACAGCTCTTCCAATTCTGCCATTGAGCCAACACAAACTACCTGCAAGAGACACCCAGGAAATTTAGTCAGTTATTTTCACACAGTAGCAATTTTTTTTTAACATCAGACAGGAGACTTGTAGGTCAGTCAGCATCTTGTATAGCACCTGGTAGAGCTGGAAAGCGATCAAAAATTTTGTACAAGGTCCTCCTCTTCAATCTAGCACAGCAGCAAATGATGTTAGAGACCATTGCCCTGATTTAATACAATTCACATGACAGCAACTGGAGACTCTGAAGCAGGAACATCTTGGCAGATATCAAAAAGGTTGAAAAAAACACAAACAACAAAATCCCAAACAATCCACAACAATCATCTCTGAAAAATCAATGATTCTGAGTTTCAGGTCCTCTCCTGAAGTTAAGGTGAGCAGCTAAATTGCTCATAAACCAGACTCAGTGTTCCATCCCTGGTACCCTAAACTGCACATGTTAAAGGCATCTTATTTAAAGTGAAAACATGTCACAGCTAACAAAGGAGTTGCTAAGAAAGACTTTTCTCAGTTTTGTTGCATCAACATCTTTTAAGAAAAGAACAGAGCATTTCCACAACAGACTTGCACTGACATGCTGATGAACATTGAAAGGTGGATGAAGCAAATGTTTCTGAAACACGGCACACAGGAGAGAAGGAGAAAAGCAAATCTTTCTTTGCTTCAGGTTTCAATCAAGTTGAACCCTTCCAGAGCCCTCTCTCATCTGGCAGGATTCAGGAACCACAAACTGCAGTACAGGTCTGGATTTTCAAGCTCCTGTCCCACATGCTATCAGTCCAGTTTAGAGTTTAGAACTGCCACAGGAAAAAGCAGGGTTTGACAGGTGTGACAGGGAAGGAGTTAAATCCACCACCTTAATGAAGCTCTAAGCAGGTCAGACGTTTCTGGCGTAAGACAACTTTCTAAGTTGCTCCTAGGATACAACAAATCAGAGTAGTGCTCAATTCCTATAGCTAGTCTTAAATATATGCACATGCATACACACAAATTGTGATTAACAAAAAGGTTTTGGTGTATTTAATTCCAAAAAACTGTCATGAATTACAGAGAAGACAAAATCAGGCTGATTTGGTTTTTAAGACATCATTTTCCTAGTCTGACTCAACTGCTGATCTGCATTACTAATCACCATCTTCTATTATTAAAGTACTTTTGAAATCTAATTTTTTCATTCCTTGTCTATTTGTCTTTTTTTCCTATTTGCCTTTTTTCCTGTAGGAGATGAGGCATGACAGTGATTCCACAGCCAAGAACAGCAGCCTGCAGTGTGCACAGCCAACCTCACTGGGGACTGAGCCCAGGTGAAAATACACCTTTATCAACAAACTATTTTTTTCTGCTTTTCATTCACCATGTGGCCCCACAAGCAATCACACAGGCTCAAGTGAACAGCAGCAGGTGCTTAGTTCAGCACTGCTGGTGGAAGAAGAGGTTTTAATAGGAGCATAAGTAAAAAATACCCCTGAATACACCAAGTACTTGATCTTTGCTAACCTTAATATTTGAACACACTATGCTCTGGGTGAAAAGCTGCCCATTATTTGTTGCTTTTGGAACAAGCATTTCAATACTTAAGTGAAATTCTGAATATTGATGCAGAACTGCACCCCAAAGTTACTCATAGAAGAAATAACCTCAAGTTCACGTGAAAAAATCCAACAACGCCCAGAGGAATGTGGCTATCAGCACACAGAGTAAGACTGTCTCTCTCTGAGGCAGAAGGATGGAGCTGTCCCAAGGGCAGCTCACTGGACACCTGAAGGTAAGAGAAGAATACAGCAAGTAGATGTTAATCAAATTCAATCCTCTGTTAGGCCACACACACTTGTTTCTGCAAGGAACAAGCTGGCTCATGCTCTCAAATTAAAGCCATTGTTTTGGATATACTTCTTTAAGAGCAAGGTCTGCTTCAGTAGCCTGATCCCTCTTCCTTACCAGTCATTTGCTCCTCCTCCATTTCACTGTTCAGCCACATCAACACAAAACTAGTTGTATCAACAGTGAACAGAGACAGCAAAGACTGAAATAAACAGGCTGGGACTGGCGGTTGTTCAACCATGTTTCAGTATCTTCAAGACCTAATGTGAAACCAGAGGCCAACACCCAGGATTATCCATGTCAGTAGGAAGAACAAAGCCACCCAGCAGCCTTTGAGGATCTTGTTGGTCCTGTGGCACAGTTCTGCAGTCCCTAATATTTATTGTTTTGCCATTTCAGGTCTGTTAAGTACCTAGAACTGCAGAGTAAGGAGTGGTCATGGAAAGAAAGAAGTCCATGTTGTGTATCAGTGTGTGAGCAAGACACTCTGGGATCTTTAGAAAGCATCTTCTGAGCAGCAATTAGTAAAAGCAATGACTGCTATGGTCAGCCAGATGTGGCTTCTTAACGCAGCCTCAAACCAGAAACAGATCTGAAGTTCCCTCTCCCTTCAGGAGAACAGAGCCAAAGTCCTCTCATTCTGTTACACGGGGCTGAGTGCACCCAAACTCGTGGCACATAAACAGTTTACATGACTGACAAGCAATGAAACACTCAGAGAATTTCCATAACACCACTGAATATTTGATACTATAATTTGTATGTGAGCCCTATAAAATTAGCACATGGCTGCTCTATCAGCTTGGGGGTTATACTAAAAAATTTTATTCTCTAATCCAAATGCAGTGTTCCTCCACTGAGTAAATAATTCAGATTTGAAAGTTCAGAATGATAAACTGTCGGCAAAAATGTGGTAATAAACACACACTTCAGAATTCAACTTCCATTATGTGTCTCTACCTGATAATTATGCTGAGAGAAAACTAAAATAAAAGCTAAAATAAAACTGTGGGAAACCCGTTATTGATTTGTAATAAAATTCAGTTTAATACCAATTAATTCACCTTACTGTATATTAAATAAGGAATTGTTATTACTTCTCCAAGATTTAATATGCACAGCACAATTATGTGCAACTAAGTGTTCTTTGGAGAGCAAGACATGAAGAGGATGCTCTGCAATCTCACATGGCACTAGGCTGCAGTAAAAGTGAAGTCAGGGAATTCTGAGTGAACATTATTTCTAGATGAGAGCAGATGTCACCTAGGCCTTGAGTTCCACATCAGTTCCAGTGGCATTTAGCATTCAAGACATATCACACATAAGAAGAGAGTGAATATTAAAGAAGCCTAACTGGAAAAATCAGCCTGATCCACAAGCCACAGTCAATTATTAAAGCACAACATTCATCCTCCAGAGCAAACAGAAATGTATAACATCTACGGATGAAAAGAATAGATTTGTTGGTATTTCCATCCTTATTCAGTAACACCAAACCCTGAGGAATATTTGCAGCTAATTTCAAAGGAAAGGTCAATCTTCTAAGTTAGATATCATATTGTTATTAAAAACAAACAAATCAAACCTAGAAAACCCAAAAAAATGGTACACACAGGAACAGAGACATGGGGAGACTGGACAGAAAATGAACTACTATTAGAGGCAAGGAGTGCAAGTAATGAAACCTTTACATAACTTTTTTCAGCTGTAGAACGAAGTCTTGAAATACTCTGGCACAAAATTGAAAGCCTTTATATTATCTAAAAAAAGTTATGTCAAACAAGGCACTTGATTTTTTCACATTTATTTAACATTTTCATGTATAAATTAGTCTTCAAAGTAAATTTTAACTGTTTAGTTAAACTTTAACTGAGAGATAGAAGCACATGCTTTGCCAGTGATATGCAAACATGCTCACAGTGTAAATGGAAACCAAATCCACAGCTTTCTTAGGTACTCAAATCACAACTGCACAGAGGATCTCCCTCCCTCCCCCAGTATCTCCATGCCTACCATCAGGACTGCCAATGAAGAGGAAATAAAAAATGCCTTATGTTGCACATCTAAGCAGTAACAAATTTAAGATCATAAAATACTTCTCTAGCATACTTTTTCCTACTAGAGCTCTTCCAGGTCTAACACAAAGAGTAAAACTTTTTCAAATCAAGAGCTATAAAAATAAAGGCTTGGGAAGCTGGCATCAGTATCTACCTTCCATGGACATCCTGACATTGCCACTCCCTACTTCCAGCACGAGGAAGGCTTCTCATACATGTCTAATGGAACTAATTCACACAGAAAGAAAAAGAAAAGGACAACACCACACAAAAGCCCCAAACCCACCTATTTTATCTTTAGAAACACTTTCAAAATGTGGTGCTTTGACACTTGGAGAACAGCAGCCATCAAACCTGTGCAAAGCTTTCACCTGTGCAGTTAGCTTTATGCTACCGACTTGACAAAATTCATTTCCAGCATTCCCATTTTACATTTTCATCATTCTCTACATTCATGTATTTTTACAGTCTGTTACAGTCCCATTTGTAGCACTACAAATACATATCTCCCCTGTTCTACTGTGGTGGACTTGCTTTTACGCCTTCAGCAACTCATTTGGCTTGAAGTAAGCGACCACCAGAATTTCAAAAGCAGAACTGAAAGGACCAAAAAAATCTCCTCCTTGCCATTTTCTCACTGCATTTATTATTTCCTTTAGATTTGCCATCGCTGCAAATTCTTCCAGGAAAGGCAAGATTAATTTTAACACAAAACCCAAGAAAAATTGCTTGCAGTTTTCAAGCCTGTACAAGCACACAAATGCACCCATACACATGCATATATCTATCACCCACTACATGCATAGACAGATTATACAGATATACTATTAACACATATTAATAGACCTTCAGACTGCACCAGACAAAGATAAAAGTGTCCATCAAAATAAGCAAACAACATATCCAGACAGGCTTTTCTATCAGCTGGAACCTTTCACTTTCTTACTCACCTCCTCCAAGTCATCACTGACCCACAGAGGGATGGGGGTCCCCCAGTACCTGTTCCTGGATATGGCCCAGTCTCGGGCATCTTTAAGCCAGTTCCCAAAACGCTTCTCCCTCACAAAATCTGGAACCCTGTGCCAAAAACAAGAACAGGATTAATTTATCACTACACTCCACTTAAAAGAAAGCTAGGAAAAATGATTGTCATTTGATTGCATCCACAAAAGTTAATTTGAACATTTACATGATCTGGAGCACATCTATTACAGCACTGGTTACTGCAAGGCCTATGGACTTGCTGCCAAAAACAGAACGCCATTTCTTCTGCCTTTCTTGGAGCTCCAGCTAAACTAAGTAAAAAATACCATGCTTATTTTACTATAAACTCAGAAAAACACATGCCACATACAATAGATTCACTAGGGATGAAATAATGGCCAGAAATGCTCAGCACAAGGTTATGGCTAAGGGTGGATATGAACACTACTGCTTCATTTTACATACAGAACAAGAATCAGTTACTGGCATTGATGCTGAATGAAATTCCAAAGATTCAAAAGTCTGAAGTAATAGCATTAAAAGGCACCTTGAATTATGCATGGGCATCCAGGTATCTGCACATTACTTAGGTTGACAGATCATACCAAAAATCTTTTCCAAGCTATTAATCATCTCCATTTTTTATTACCTGATTAAAAAACAGAACACACCCCCCAACCACAAACCCTATCAGTGCTTGCTAAAACCTCATTTTGAGCCCTAATGGGTACTGAGGGATGTTGAAGACCAATTTTCATCATAGGAAAGTGTCTTGGAGCTCAAAGATGAATGCCAGAACCTAGCAAGGTTCCTAGCTGTGCTAAATGGCCTGCTGGTTTGATTGGAGCCATTTGTTTTCTCTGAGGATGTAAACAAACAATTCACTATTTATACAATGATTATATGCAGATGAGGAACAGCAGTGGGTTTTGAGGTCAACAGTATACTCCCTTCACGCCTTAAGATGCATTTAAAGAGACCAACCTGAAATGAAACTCACCGGAAAAATAACCTTAAAACAGTGTCATAGAGGCACAGAAGCTGTGAATGAGCAGCTCACGACAAGTAACTCTGGAATGGACTTAAGTGAGCAAAGCTTGGCAAGTTTGTTCAATGCTGAGTTGTTTTTCCAGGGTAACTAGAAGAGCCCTTCCCTGAAGTCTGAGTTGGATTTAGAGAGCCAGAGTTTCTAAAGGAGGAACAGCTAAACTACAGAACACCTATGCTATCTTCTACCTTTTCTTTTTGAAGCTTTGTCCTCTATCAAGCATATCTTTTTGAAGAAACAGCTGTTTAATCACAGATCAGTCCCAAGAGTAACAAAGATGAAAGGATCCTTCAGAGGAAAAATTAAAAGCACAGATTCACATGACACACTGAGGTAGGATTTGGCCCAGCAGCAGATTTATGAAATAAGTGTGAACAACAAAAAATTAAAATCTATTGATAAAAATAAAAGCTACTTTCCTAAAAGTTTTACTCATGATGATGCCATGTGGAGATCTAAAGGCTTCTTGATGTCTGTGTTGTCTCAGGTGGATAAAAATCTGCCCTTAAAAGACTCACTAAATATCAGCCTGAAGTTCCACAGCTTCCCTAGCTATTTCTGGCTTTACTTTCAGCTGCAAAGTTGTCTTCTGTAACATTTCTTGAACAAAAATCTAATACAAAAAATGGTAAACAAACTGAGTGACTCATGTTTCACCTGACATCTCCCTGCCTTGAAATTCAGAAATGTACACAGGCTTTCCCACTTTGGTTTAGTGTGGGACTCATTACTATTAACTTCGTGTGATGACCTTAGGAGACCCAAACACAAGTGGAAACTGTACAAAGACCATTAGCATTTGCCTAACATTCTACTAATGTGGAAAACTTCTCTTTACATCACTCCTAAACTAGTTTCCATTTTTCAGAAGTTGTTAGACACTGATTAGCTGAAATTATTAGTCCCATTTAACATAGCTAGAGGCTGAGACAATCCCCCAATGACATTAAAATGCTAAGAGTTTCAACTCTGCCTCCTCAAAACATGCATGAAAAATTAATTTTCTCCCCAAAGTGGACATTAACCATAAAAATGTATGTGGTGATCTCTCTCTCTCTAGCTGAGCTACGAAAACATATAATTTACCTCTTCTGGTAAAATTGTCTGACCCTGCTGCCAATATTCAGTGGAACATAAAACACAAACCACTTCATCTACTACCAGCCATATCTGCAACAATGATTTATGGCTCTTTAGAGGTACAACACAGAAACAACACTGACACAGCCATCAAATCAAAGAAAAAGAGCCCGTATCGCTCACACATTTTGAGCCCATCACTCAGAAGGAAGTGTCACTTAAAGCAATTGGTTCTTGCCACTGCAGAGATGCTGCCCATAACCCCAAGGGTAGACAGGAGGGATGTGCAGCAGGGAACAGCCTTGCCAGGCACAGCTCTTCAGGACTGCAGCCTGTTCCTTTTACTTAAGTCTCACTAGATTTAGCTACAGATGTTTCAGTCTGACCCTTTTGACTGACCTGCATATCATAAGGAAAAAACAATAAACTCAGAGGCATCTTCTCTTTAAGTATTGGATTAGGTTGGGAAAACAAAATAGAGTATTCTCAATGATCTAACTAACACCTGATCACTGTGTTACACTAGCTCCAGGTTAGCCTTCTCCTAGGTTGTTTTTTCAGTTTCTTTTTAATCCTACCAAGAAAATATCTCAGAGGATAGACTCCTCCTGTTCAATTTTAGTAAAGATACCATCCTGTCACAGGTATATATTAGTTGAGGAAGCATTTGTCACTTTTTCATCTACACAAAGCAACTCAAAGATAAATGTTAAGCCGATGCACATGTTTTTCATGTATCAATCACAAACTCTCTTCAGCCTAAAAACACAAATGTCAAGTTCCTGCTGCTGCCACCAAGTTTGCACCTGAGTACAAGCAGCAAGGTGAGTACAGTGCTACAGCCTGTTCTGAGCAACCCACTGCTAATGGCTCTGAACAGATGCAGATGTCAGAAAAGGTCAAGCTCAGGCATCAAATAGTTCCACGAGGTTGCAAGTGAAACTAAAGCAGCCACATCTCTCCTAAAGCATTCATGCTGCAGCTCCTAAACCTGTGCTGTGACAAAAACAGGCTCTTTGATTTCCCAACTGGCCTCCAATTTGTCTTGGGTTTGACCTTCAAGTTTCTCTGCAAAATGACACAGCTAGGATTTCATACTTCTTTTTCCATCATTTAGCAATGCTGAGGAGACTGCTGTCTCAGCAGATCAGGAAGCTCTTGATTCATGCTGTGTGGGACAACAGCTATTCCTCCTTGCAGGCACCCAGGAGAGTGCATACTAAACAAACTTCAGGATGCAGACATTGCAGAAGCTGCAGAGTTCAGTGACCTGAACTTCACAACACGAAGCAACAAATGTTGCTTTGTCAAATCATAAATTAGAAAGATTTTGAATGAACGTACATCAGTTCCAACCTGCTTGAGTGCTCATTTCTCTTACTCTCCCCACCTCAGAATACTACCATTCAAGTGAGAGATAATGAAAATATTTCATGTGCTCAAAATGTCCATGCCCAGTTTTGACTGTTTGTTCCTTGTGCTGGAGCAGATTTGGGGTTTTGCTAAATGGATGCATTGCTAAGTCCTCTACACAATCAAGTACCACATCCTTTCTTGGTAGCTACTCAATAAAAATTCCATTTAACAAGCAAAAACACCTCACGAAGAGCAAGATAAAACCCAATCCTTTAACAGCATTTCTTAGCTTATCACAACAAAAACCACTTTCTTTGCCTTCAAAGTCTATGTAGTACTCAGCACCCAAGTCACACAAGCAGTGTTGGCATGGATTTGAAAATAGCAATTAGTGACCACTGTCAATCCCAGAGCACGAATGAGTATGTTGACAGCAAGCTACCAGAACCCAGTGGGTTCTCACCACCAATAAATACCCAGGGAACAGCATCCATTAAAATTAATGTGTTTGCTTTCTGACTCCTGACTCCGAAAGAGAAATGTGCAGGATGCAAAAAACCCCCATATTCTAACTTATTACATAATCCAGAAGGGGACTTATTAAAAGGATTAAGGTATCTGTTCCTTTTCTGTACATGTATTTTGAAGCATCTCTCTTGTGCTCGTAACACAACTGCAAATACTGATTTCAGTTTATTATACCATTTCAGTACACAGATGTGCTCTGCAGGACTCCCTGAGCTGGCTCACCGTGCCCCAGTCACAGGATGCAGCACTGTCCCTCTCCTCTGCAAACACAAACAGCACTGCTGAAATAAAGAGCTGTCAAACACTGCCATGGCACAAGCCTCGGATGGTTTATCATCAATTTGCCATTAAAAGCTGTTTACTGTGTTACATAAAAACACACTAATCCTTTCTCCCTCTTCATTCTTCTCACCAGCTAATTTTATTCATGACACTCTTTGCAAACCCACAGCAACTTTATGCACTGGGTAAAATTTACTTCATAATTGGTAATTGAAGGAACCTCTTGGCTTATCAAGTATTTGAAAAACCATCCCAAAAAATTAGACTGTAAAGTTGATAAACAACAGAGTACCTTAAATAGTGTGAATTAGGGAACCTAATACCAGATTAAGAGATCTAATATAGCTTTGGTTGTGAGAAGATGGTCCCAGATCTATCCTGTCATTTGGCAAGCTGGTAACTTTTTAAGTGACACCTGAAATCAGAGATTACATATAAGCCTGGAAAAGAGAAAGTTACTCTTAGAGAAGATAGCTGAGTTCTAACAGCTACACCAAAGGTGACTGAATAGTTATTCCATAGCATTTATCTTAATATGCACAGATTTATTTAGATTTATAGCACTAACAGCTGGAGTTTCTGGTTTAGGTGTAGAAATCAGCTTTCTTTTTAAACATTAACCAACCCTTAGAAGACAAAGCCTCAAATTCCATTATGTTAATTTCCTCTAATAACAAGCCTCCTTCAACATGCCCTCAAATTGATTTTTAATAGTTTTTAATTCAAGGAGATAAAATAAGCAACTATTCATGCCCTTTTGACACTTTAATTAGTGCCAATCTATACCACGGACCTAATTAAACATGGGGGGAGGTGGGAGCAGGGAGAGGGGAAGGGAGGAAAGGTCAGCTGTTT